TCTCCTAAACAGTTCAATTTCCTTTTTTGATAGAATTTTTTCATTTAATAATCCTACTTTTGCTAAGGCTATAGTATCAATAATGTTGTTTATTTTATCATTTAATTCCTTAAGGTTGAAAAGAATATTTATGGAATATAGTTCCGAAGTTTTTGAATTGAACAGTTGAATAGCATCTTTTGTTTTAAATACTGTCTCTTTAAACTGTAATGCCATTTCTCGGTTAATCTTTACTTGTATATTGTTATTTGCTACGAGATTGTTAATGGTTGAATTGATTAACTTTAAATCATCTGCGTCGGGGGATCCGGCAATACATTTCCAAACTTTTCCTACTGCGTCCCAACGTTTCTGTCTCTTGGTTTGTAAAATAGTTCCTAGTGAGAGGTTTATGTCGTCAAATTTGTGGACTATCACATCTGTAAACTGCGTTTTTCCTACTTTATCAAATTTATCTCTCAAATCGGTTACATGGTGGTTCAAGATTTCTATGTTAAAATGATGTAGGTAATAATAGGTAATAGGTAATAAATAGGTAGGATCCAGGTATGAGAGCTAGCTCGCTGGCGTCGGTAGCATTGGTGCTCAGCACGGAAAACCAGATCGACCGAAAACAAACCAAAGGAAGAAAGAAAAAAAAAAGAAATGAGATTAACAGAACTATTATATCTGTACAAGTTCGGAATAAGTTTCATATTTTTGAATTTTCTGCAGAGTTTTAAACTTTTATCGAACAGTCCGCAATTAATCATGTGATGTTGTTTTTGACATCATCCACATCCAGAGGGCCAGTCAATTTCGAATGTATGAGAATGGTAGGTAACCATTTGGAAATGCATGAAAATTTTCAGTTTTTATTCATTATCGTCTTTATGGGCAGTTTTAGATGCACAAAAATTGCACGAGTACATTACTATGGTGATAAGGTAAACACTCGTTTATTTGTTTCCTTCTATGAAAGCATGTTTAGTCACAAATCGTGGATTTTCTGATATTCTCCATACTGCCAAAATGATTTTCCTACCACTGAAGCGGCGACATCTCTCGGATCTTCAGTATAGCTACTACTCAAATCATATAATTAATTAAAAAACCTAGTAAAAACATTACTGACTGGATTAGTGTGTATATGTTATGTGCAACTTATATGTTGTAATATTCAACGAATTGGTTCGGTATTGGTGCTTAGTTGAAAGTTCACAATCGCATAAATTGTTTCGTCCACGTCTTTGGAGTCGTCAGCAACATCTCGAAGCGCTGCCAATAGTTTTACGAATTTAATATCAATTGCAGCCGAGCAGACTTCGGCATCCTTAAGGCAGTTCTCCACGAGTCTTATCAAATAACTATCCGTTAGAAAATCGAATCCGTATTTGTACTTGAAGTCGACGACCAACCGAGCAAGGTCCAGCATTTCTCTTCCGGGGAGTAGCTGCACAGCAACCTGTATCCAATTGACCAAAAATCGCAACCCGGAGTCCAGCAGCGATGGCTTCTTTTCGCATACCAAATCGTCCAGAGTAAGCATTTTATACCTCAGAAATCCATTGACCAATCCGACCAGTTCTGGGCTGATTTCCTGCCGGCCTTGGACATGGTCATCGCCAAGTTTATAACTATCGTTGAAATGTAATCCACAAAATTCCAACTGGAGCTTCCACAGCGGGAGCAAATCTGGGTTTGATTCCTGGGGCAGTATTTACTGAATTTGACCACCGATTTGCACAATTCAATGATCGGCTCGGTTACCTCCGAAGCATCCTGCTTAATTTGATCCAAATGTATCCACAGTTGAAGTGTGATGAATATAACGATTTCTACCAAAATATGATCCGGACGGGATTTCCCACTGAGGATTTTCAATTTCTCTGATAGGGATTTCAGCGTTTTCATATCCAGAACAGAGCTGTTTTGAAAGTTGAGATACTTACTCAAAATCCACACGGATCTTGCCGTTGGCTCAGATTCTATTCTTTCAAAAATAGGGTAGAGAACTACTTCGGTCTAATCGCCCATTTTGGGCCTATCGAGCAGAAAACATCAAATAAATCCACGATTTCAGAGTTAAGAAGTCAATTATGGGTTTGGTACGATACTTTAGTCAATTAGCTGTCGAACGAAGTCAATGAGAATGCGTTATATAAAGCTTTGCACCCATAATTCACAAAAACAAAAGAAGCGCTCAATCAATTTTTATCTTCATCCGAAAGGCCGAAGTGAATTCATTGGCGATTCAATGCGTTAGGCCGAATTTAGAATCCGTAGGCCGAGTTTGGCATCAAGAATCAGTGTTAGACTTTTGACAATATCTCAACGATTGGTTTCTCTTTATTAAATCTTACGGTACGTACAGAAAGGTAAATAAATTTTGAAGCCATCAGTAATAATAACATTTCGTTTGATGCTAAACTGTGCTAGATTAAGAAAGACTAAGTGCGCGTTGTGCTTAATTGGCCGGAAAGGGGGTAGTTAACCCTTTTAAGAATCTCCACTAATTGTATGTACTGCTTGGAAGCCTCACCCAAGCTAAGAATTATTTTCAAATAAGACAAACTCTTGTGGAATAATTCTGCCATTTCCATCTCGCTAAACTTCTCTATATATCACTGATGCGAAAAATTTCGCTGGCCGCTTCTGATACACAGTGAACAGTCGATACAGCAGCGCCGTTGAGTTATCGAACACATCGTTGTAGATCCCTACTGCTTTCGCTCGGATCGCCAACTCGTCAGACTCGGACCAATGCCGCAACAATCGAATTGTGGTGGAGCAGATCACGTCCAATCCAGACAAAATCAACTTTTGCTGATCCGTTTGCTTCTTCGTATGTGCAATCTTCCAGCAAGCAAGCGCATTGCACTAATATGTGTCGTTTATCCTGAAAAAGTAAAATTTATTATACAGAATCCAGAATCCAAAATCAATTTGATAACGGCACAAAAGCATTTGTAAATAAACTTTCTAAGGCCGTTCGCAATGCTGTTGTATTTTATAAGGACTGTTTCAATTTTAAACTAGAACAGAAACGCACCTCTCGCAATGCTGAGTTGCAGCTTCATTATTCGAGCACTATTTTGCACCAGATTTGCAACTGCTCGAGTATTCTGTTTTATTTCTGAGCGAGTTTGAAACACGAATGGAACTCTGTTTCAAATTTCTTTGTATGTATTTAAAGATGTTTCGAAGAGCTTCACAAAAAAAACGGAGAACTTCATAGAGAATAGTAAAGTTTATGGAACATGATGATTACAAACATCTTTTAGAACTGTGCGTTGCGCTGATCGTGTTGCAGTTTTATTTTTGACAGTTTCAAATTATAGAATTGTCGAGAAGTTTAAAACAATTTTGAAACTCTGCATTGCGAACGGCCTAAGGCCCTTTACACGCGAATACCAACACTTTCGGAAAAGTGATAGTTGCCCCTATCCGATGATGTTGGTTTGCGTGGGCGTACTTTGGTTCGCGTGTAAAGGGCCTTAGAAAGTTTGTTTACAAATGCTTTTATGCCGTTATCAAATGTTATGGCTAAACTAAACTAACCACCTTCCCACTGAACTTCACCGCCGAATTATAAATTCTAAGCACAAAGCGGCATCGAATTCCATCCACCGCCTCGCGACAAACTCCAAGCAATGCCTGCAAATGCAGTAGGTCCTCCTTCCTATCACCATCCTCCGACTCCCCGAAAACCGTCAACAGTTCCGCTACGGAGGAGTTCTGTCGATGTCTTCTCGGTCGCGGTTGACTCTGACTTTGGTTAGAAGCACGGACTGAAGAAATCTGTAGCAACAATGGCAACAAGCGCGAGTCATTGACAGCTCAACAAAGCAAATATACAAGCAAATGTTAACCCGATGTGTTCACCCCTAATCATTTTGGCATATGATCTTTTGTTATACAAAAGAAAAGCAGATAACAACTAAACGTCATAATGACATGCTGTTTGACAACAGGCTCTCCCTTTAAATTTTCGTTAGAGAAAAAGAGATAACATACGGTTCTTCCTACTTTAAGCTAGTACATATGAGTAGATAGTGTTGCCGTGAGGTACACTCGAAAACTGCAAATGTAAGTGCGTCAAATCAAATTTCGAGCCGCTCCGTCTGTCACTTCGTTTGTGATTTAGGGGTGGCGCAAACGCGTCAAAGTTTGACTTTTTTCACTCTCGAAAATCTCCCAAGGCCCCCCCCCCCCCGTACATGAAATTTCGGAAATCAAAAAAAAATTGTTGATGCCAAATGTCTTAAAAATGCATGAGACGTCGATATTTGGTGTTAGGTATCTCGATTTTTTTTTTAAATCGACTTTCTGGGACTTAGATTTTTTTCATGAGTTCTATATGGAATATAGAAGATTGATGAGTCGGCTTCTAAAACTGTCGACGCGTTTGCGCCACCCGTAAATCATGTCCGATTGAGCTCACATTTTGCAAAGGGTCATTTTTCGAGGCAATAAACATTTTGTATATGGTTTGTTAGCGAAATTTGGTGGTCAAATTTTTCCCATACATTCATTGGCAGTCTAATATGCATGATAGAGGGTGCTAGCAACCGGTGGAAACTAACGATTTTAAATTGACTCACTACTTGACTAGCTTATTGGTCCGAAGCAAATCGATTAACGTACCCCATTCTGGTCGAAATTCTAGTGCTACACTATGTTTGTTTTGATTTACTATGAAAATTTGACAGATGAAATGAGAGGTTCATGGATTTTCCTATACTTCGAGGGATGCATCGATTAGCTTGGGACCGAAGAGAGTACCAGAACTGAGCCAAAAAGTTGAGCATGTTTCTTCCGGGCCTTCTTGTCTTAGAGGTACCTCTATGGTGCTGGTGTGCATGTAAAATACGCTTGACGATGTTTTAGAAGAATTTCCTTCTAAGAGTTATGTCTGTTTGTCTGTGTTGCTGTGTTATAAGATGGATTCAATAAACCTTACATGCCAATTTGTTTCAGTGCACATAACAATTTACTCTTCCATTTCTGAACAATTTCAGACCAATATGGACCCACAAAGCTCAACAAATCGCAATGTGGACTACTACATGAGTAACATAGGATCCGGTGCCCATGGAGAGGAATACCAACGAGATGTGGCCCTTTTGATGCTTGAGCGTGCGACCCGAGCAAAGAATGATTTCAAGTTGGCCTACGAAATGTCTGATGCCGGAAAGTTCGACGATGTAGCATTGTACGACGAAAACAAAAAGGAATGGATACTGATACAAACGAAACATGCTGATACGGTAAACGGGCCACCGAAATCCATCGATTGGGCAACGTTATTTCCGGAGAACAATAACGAGCGAGAAAAATCGGATTTTTCTCTGTTCAAGTATTTGAGATCATACTTAGAAATTCAAAACCGTTTCAGTGGTTCAAAAAAGTGCTATATTTTCACCAACCGGACATTGAACAAAGCAATACAAGATAATTTTCTATATTGCGAGGCACATCAAATGCTACGCATGTCGAATTATGAAGCTAAACACTTCCAGCTTAAGTCAACCAACAACATTGTCAATAAACTGCACGATTACATCAATCAGGATTTTGAGACCCTGATAAAAGCAATTATAGAACTTTTCAACGGTGGACACGCAGATTCAATTTTAAATCATTACAAATCACCTCTTGCAAATGTGTTGTCTATACGGAAAGGAGTTCTGAAGTTCCATGAAAAGTTCGCAGCGAATGACCCGGATTCAAACACTAGATGCTTGTACGATTCACTGCAGGCGAAGCAGATCATCGGAAAGGAACGACATAATATCAGCAAAGACATCACGAAGGTCCTAACCGGTCAATCAAGGATCAAAAAATTGCCTTTATGCGTAGAAAGAACTCAAGTTGAGGATTTCATACACAATTTGGTGCTATCTGTCGGGCAACCGGATAATCTTCGGAGCATCATCGAACGAGATATTCGAGTTTGGATAAAAACTTGGATACGACCAGACGACTTTGGCAGACTGACTGAAACACAGGTGTCCCTTTTGGCAACGAAATTTAATGACTTATGTGATTTTAACAGAACCACTGGTGAGAACCAGAAACAAATGAAAAAGTATTTCAAAGTAGACGATGGAGAAAGTTTTTTTGAAAAAATTAAAAACGAGCTAATACAGCAAATAAGAAATCAATCTGGTCAGCGTTGGGAAGAATTTGAAAGGCGCTACGTAAACCGTCAAATCGTTTACACCGAACAGAACGGGATAGATAGTGAACCTGAAGAATCAGGTGGAACCACCAATTTCAAAATAGACAAACAGCCGTTACTAAAAGAAGCGCAGGTTAAGATAACCGATCGAGAATTTGCCAATCAAATGATGAACAAATTTTCGAAACAGCAATGTTTGATTTTTATCGCTGAGCCGGGCATGGGAAAGACAACCCTACTGCAGTTCATTTCGTTTCAAGTTCAGCAGGAAGATAATTGTCACGTATTTCTAATATACCTCAACAGTGTGCAAAAGTATTTGAAAGAAGTCAAAGGCATATCTGATTTGGATAAAGCTCTAAATGTATTGCGGGATGCAATTTCGGAAAGTAATCGTAACATTATCAAAGTGGCTGCCACCGATGGAGATGGCGGAATGAACAGTGATCGAATTGTGATATTTTGTGATGGATTCGACGAGGTTCATCCCAAACAAGCCGAGCAAATGATTCAGGTTATGAAGCAACTGATGTCTGTAAAATGTGTTCAAATAGTAATCAGTGGTAGAAGACATGTGAAAGAATCGCTTGAAAAAAGCTTTGCCGTTAAGTCAATGAGAATAGTTCCGCTTGGGTTTGTAGATCAGGTTGAGCTCTTTCTGAAATTTAGGAACGTTGATGCTAATGAAGCAACCAAATGCAACTCGTTGGTAACTTCATTCCTAAAACACTATGAGGACATTAATCGCTCTCAGTGCGATTCTACCGGTTCACCTCTCATTATTAGGATATTAGGTGAAGTGTATTCAGAGCAATTGATAATGAAACCTGATTGTGATGAAGATGGTAGTCTGTTGCCTCCAAAAACACTTGACATTGTAGATTTATTTGAAAAGTTTGTTAGAAAATGCTTTTATGCTAAAATGAGCAAAAAGCTCAATATTACAATTAATGACGATTATAGTGATGATGAATACGATTCCTGGTACGATACATTTATATTGGAACATCAATCATTGGCAGTGATGCAGCTTGAAATTGTGGATATACAGGAATATCCCAAAATCTTAGCCGACACTTACCAAACGTTTAAAACACGAATCAATAAAGGATCTGACAAGTCCCTGCTCGTTGAATATGTTGAAGGCAAGATTCAGTTTACCCACTTGTCGTTTGCAGAATACTTTGTAGCCAAACTACTGATTGAGCGTGTTGTGAAATTTTCATCCAAGTTGCATGCGGTTTTTGAGCAAAATCCTGGCATCAGGAAATTTTTCTTCACAATGGTGGAAAAATGGCAGGCAACAGAAGAATCCGACCATTTCATGATATTGAACACACACCAAAATGGGGAAAATGAGGCTCCTACAGATAACGTTATGGCCTTATATGCTTGTGAGGCAAACTGCATAAATCTGGTGAAACTTTTGTCGAAAGATCATGATCTGAAAAGCTTGAAGCATAACAAAATGGGGTCCATGCTGCATGTTGGTGTAGAAAATAATTGCACTGAAATATGCAAATTTTTAATCACAGAATGTGGCTCTGAAGTTGACTACGTGAATGAAAATGGTAAGTCACTATTGTTTATAGCTTCCGAATGGGGTTATGGCGATATTGCAGAGCTCCTGATCGACAAATGTGTTGCAGTAAATCAGTTGAGTCTTCATCATGTAACAATTATAGGCGATACATTCGACAAAACCGAGAAGCAAGACAAATGGGCACCACTTCATATTGCATCTTTCAATGGTCATGTGCCGGTCTGCCAATTATTGATTGGTGGTGGTGCTTTGATAGACATTCAACAGTCAGATGGATTGACGCCTCTTTACTTGGCAACTCAAAACGGCCATACTGATGTTGTCAAATTACTCATTGAGAAGGGCGCTTTGGTCAACATCCAGGGACAAATAGGAAGTGCGCCCATTCACATGGCAGCTTCATTAGGTTATGCCGATATTGTTGCATTGTTTATCACTGAAGGTGCCTCAGTCGACACGCAGGATCAAAATGAATGGACGCCAATTCACTTTGCAGCTCAAAATGGTCACATTCATATCGTTCAGCTATTGAGCGACCATAATGCCCAGGTGGATGGTAAGACAGACAACGGAATTACGTCACTACATATGGCAGCTCAAAACGATCATGCTGATGTTGCAAAGCTTTTAATCGGTAGAAAGGCTTCAGTTGACGCCCAAAAGGCAAACAAGTGGACAACACTTCACATGGTAGCTCAATATGGTTTTCTTGATATAGTCAAGCTAATGATTGAATCTAATGCCAAAGTTGATATCAAAAACGATGACGGAAACATACCTCTGCATGTGGCAGCAATAAATGGACACACGAATGTTGCATTTCTATTGATAGAATGCGCACCATTAACGATCAATATCAAGAACGATGATGGCCAAACACCTCTTCACATCGCAGCTGATAAAGGGCATTTGAAAGTCACGGAACTGTTGATTAATAACGGGGCTGCATTAGACATCAGGGATAAAAATGAATGGACTCCGCTTTACTTTGCAGTTCAGAATAACCACGCTAAACTTGCCCAGTTATTGCTAGATTATAATGCAATGGTAGATGTTAGAACTAAAAATGGAACAACACCACTTCACATTGCAGCATTCAATGGCCATTTCGAGGTTGCCAAAGTGATGGTAGAACATCAGCGGCCAGTGGTGAACATCCAAAATAAGGCTGGAGCTACACCGCTTCACCTGGCTGTAGTCAAAGATCATGCCTTGGTCGCTAAACTACTGATCAATCATGGTGCGTTGGTAGACGTTCAAGGACCAAATGACAACACATCGCTTTTCATTGCAGCTATGTATGGCTATCCTGAACTCGTTGAACTGTTAAGCGACCATGATTCCAATACAAATATAAAAAACAACGAAGGTATGACACCACTTTATATTGCAGCTCAAAACGGTTTCACGCTTATCGTTGAGCAATTGATCAGTAAAGGTGCCATGGTAGATATACAGAAGCCAAATGGGTGGACGCCTCTTCAAATTGCATGTAAAAACAATAGGAGTGATGTTGTCTCATTATTGATCAAATCTAGGGCCCTAGTGAATAAAACAAACAACGATGGTTTATCAGCACTTCATATTGCAGCTGCCGCAGGTCACATTGATGTCGTTGAACTACTGATCAAATCTAATGCCTTGATTTATACAAAGGACAAAGAAGGATATACACCACTGTACTATGCAGTCCAGGAAGGGCATGCTAATATCGTCCACTTACTGGTCAAAGTTGGTGCCAAAGTGAACATTAGGACAAAAGATGGCTTCACATCACTTTACATTGCGGCTCTATTTGATCATGTTGATGTTGCAAAGTATTTGATAGAACATGGAGCTTTAGTAAACATTCAGCACAACACACCCCTTCACATAGCAGCCCAAAATGGCCATATTGATATAGTCAATCTGTTGATTGAGTCTGAAGCTATGATCGAAATAAAAAATGAGGCCGGGCTAACTCCTCTTCAATTTGCTTCCCTTAAAGGTCATGTCAACATCGTGAAGTGTTTAATCAATAAGGGTGCACTGGTATATTTACAGGAGCCTAGCGGATGGACGCCACTTCACATGGCAGCTCAAAATGGTCATTTGGATGTCGTACAACACTTGATCGATTCGGGCGCTAGAGTGGATATCATGGAAAAGAAAAGACACACAGCACTTTACGTGGCAGCAGAAAATGGTAAAATTGAGATTGTCAAACTATTGATCGCTTCTGGTGCTGCGGTGAATGTGAAGGATAAAGATGGTACCACACCACTTTACATTGCGGCTCGAAATGGTCATGGTGATGTTGCAAAGTATTTGATAGAACAAGGAGCTTTAGTAAACATCCAGGACAAGCTTGGTGTGTCACCCCTTGACATTGCGGCTCAAAATGGTCATGGTGATGTTGTAAAGTATTTGATAGAACAAGGAGCTTTAGTAAACATCCAGGGCAAGCTTGGTGTGTCACTTCTTGACATAGCGGCAGCAAATGGTCATGTTGATGTCGTCAAGCTCCTCATCACATCCGATGCGACTACACTGGACATTCAGCGCAAATACAGTATAAGAGCATGCCTTTTTGCAATCAAATACGGGCATTTAAATTTCGCTAAACTTTTGATTGAAGGAAACCCTTCGAAAGACACACAGAATTGATGTCAGTTGAATTCACATTTGCCAATAAAATCTTGTCAGCAAGGTAGACACTTAGATTTTGTTTGCCGAGATGGGCACCACCGAGCAACTCGGCATTTTATTTTGCTGGATCTCAGTGGAAAACTTGCCGAGATTCAGCTAACAAACGGGAATTTTGCCGAGATCTCAGCTAAAAAACATAAATTTTGCTGAATCTCGGCAAATTATTCACTGAGATCCAGTTAAATAAAATGCCGAGCTGCTCGGTGGTGCCCATCTCGGCAAAAAAAATCTAAGGTTGTAGGTTTCTTTTTTTTTTGGCATAGAACGATCCAGCAATTATCTGTCTAATGAGCAAACGATTTGGCACGACCCGCTCCAATTTTGATCAAACTTTCAACGTGTCTTCAGTATGGGAGATTATGATTTCTCCACAGATCACGAGACATTTTGACGTAGGACTACGTTATGAAAGATTTTGAACATTAATAACTCAGCTGCCCCTGTATCAATTTCAATAATTTTTATCACCAACCGATCAGAAATATGTCTACGCAATGCTTCCAATTGATGATTTTCAACAAGAAACTATTTAAAAAGTTGTAATGTCAAGCATTATCCAAAATAAATAGTGATAATTTTTTCACTGTTTTCATGAAATAAACGTTGTTCCCAAACGCAGTCGTCATAATCGAGTACCAAGATGGGATATGACAGGTGGGCAGGAACTCACGGTCTTCCAGTGTTGGTGAGTTCTTTGCCGTTAATGTTCACGAAAAGTTCACTATTTTGCCATACAGAAATTCAAAACAAAAATTTTGATCTGCGGATTTGTACTGTTTTAGACCTGTTTCGTACGACCGGAAGGTGTACCCAACAAACAATTTTAGCTGCAGCTTAGCTTATACAGGCAATAATTAGCTGCATAAGGCAAATTTTGGCTGCATAAGCTAATCTGCAGCTAAAATTGTTTGTTGGGTATGCTGCTTACAAATGCCGTGCCAAACTGATTTTCTACGCAATTAATCAATCTTTGATATGAATTTCGCTAATTAACACGAGGAGCATTTCTTATAGCAAACTTGCCATAACAAAATGGGCATGGTTAATTTTAGTAAACAAACTAACACTTCTTCCGACTGTGGCACCTCTCTTACTCGCCTAGATCGAGTACCACTTGGTTGCACATCATTCTGCTTTCACCTGAAAAGATATAAAAGAGCGCTGCTGTCTAGCCTCAACTCATTTTCGCTTCAGACGCCGTGGTGAGCAGGCAAAAGCAGTCGTCTGGCTCGCCGTGGCGGTGTCAAACGTGTCTCCGGTCTGATCTACGAGAAATCACGAGGTGTGCTGAAGGTGTTCTTGGAACATGTGATCCGTGATGCTGTCACCTATGCTGAACACGCCAAGCGTAAGCGGCCATCGATGTCGTCTACGCTTTGAAGCGACAGACGAACTCTGTACAGTTTCGGAGGTTAAATCATCACCAACTTTGGCAACAAAACGGCCCTTTTCTGGGCCAACAAGCTGTTGGTCCATATTCAGAACCACATGCCCCCAACGACCACACAAAATGCTCTCCAGAGTTGTAATTTTGTAACCAAACTTGGAAGCAGGGGTGCAGATGATTTTGATCAATTCTCTTCATCAACTTTCTCTTTGAAAAAAAAATATATTACAAATTTGACACGCCTACAAATCAAAAACGGAAAGAGTTAAGATAATAGATGATCGATCAATTCTCGCGTCACTTTTCAAAAGGTCCTAAGTAACAAATGTAAACAAATCGAGTTAAGCGATACAAACTATTACTCTTCTATCATTGTATGTGATACAAAAAAATTCATCCAAATTTACTTTCATTTATTTAAGATGATCATTGACAGGGCCCCACAAAGTAACTTTCAATCGAAAATCTTCAACTGACGATGAAGCTCTCAACCATCACTTTCAATTGAAAGTCATTCTGTCTTCTTTTCGAGCAGATCCCCGTCAACATCAACAGAACCACTTTCGATCGGTTTTCATGCTGTTTGTTTTGGCTTGACTCGTGTTCATTTCTTCTTTCATTGTCAAATGAACTTACTTTTGCATTGAAGCGAAGCTGTTGGATCCAAATTCGCGCAGTTTTTATTACTTTTGTTGATTGTTTATTCGGTTCATTTAAGCGTGTGCGCATAGCTCTGTGCACGTGGTTGTAAAATGTATCATTGTTGGGTGGTTTGTTTACCCATCAATATGGGTACTTTTTAAATCGGGGTGACGTCTAGAGATCGAAAATTGATATGCGACGCCATTTTGAAATAGAAGATGGTGGCTTCCGATTTACGAAAAAGTCGAAATACAGTCAAATACTCATCAATATTGGTATTTTTGTAATCGGTATGAAGTCTACAGATCGAAAATTGATATGCGACGCCAATTCGAAATCCACGATGGCGGCTTCCGATTTCAGAACAAGTGGGAAATATTGTCAAATACCCATCAATATAGGTATTTTTGGAATCACGATGACGTCTAGAGGCCGGAAATTGATATCCGACGCCATTTTGTAATCCAAATGGCAGCTTACGATTTCCGGAAAAGTGTCAAATACCCTATGGGATGAGACATAGATGCCGAAAATTGATGTCACGTCTTTTTTTTTTTTTGAAAGCGGGCTGATATCTAGAAGCCAGAAATCGATGTGCGACGCCATCTTGAAATTCAATTTAATAAGAAGTGTCAAATAGCCTACAAATGGCATCGAATATCGATTTTCAGCATCTACGCGTGGTCCCCGTTCCGTAAAATACCCAGGTCTTAGGGTATTTGACACTTTTGTGAAACCCATAGACCGCCATTTTGGATTCCAAAATGGCATCGAATATCGATTTTTGGCATGTACACGTTGTCCTCATTCCGAAAATACCCATATTGTAGGGTATTTGACACTTTTTGAACCCTGATTTCCGCCATATTGGATTCCAAAGTGGTATCTGATATCGATTTTCAGCATCTACGCGTTGTCCCTGTTCTTTTTTTTTTGTTAATTACTTTATTTGTACAGGCTCAATCGAATAAACTTTACAGAGCCAAGTTATCATTTTCTTTATACATTATAAATGTCTTAAATCTAAAATTAAAGGATTGGAACCGATTACTCGCGGTCTTCTCGAGGTTAGATTGTCCCTGTTCTGAAACTAACCATATTGTAGGTTACTTGACACCTTTTCTGAAACCCTATGGACGCCATATTGTAGTCCAACATAGCATCGGATATCGATTTTCGGCAGCCACGCGTTGTCTCCGTTCTGAAAATACCCATATCTTAGGGTATTTGACACGTTTTAGGAAACTTGATGGCCGCCATTTTGGACTCTAGAATAACGTCGAATATCGATTTTCCGCACCTTCATGTCGTCCTTGTTCCGAAAATACCCATATTGTGGGGTATTTGAGAATTTCCCTGACCCCGATGGCCGCCATCTTGGAGTCCAGAATGGCCTCGTTAATTTAATTTTTGTTCAATATAAAATAATATATTATTACTACACCTAATCTGGATGCCTTCCCTATCGGCAACCTATATTGTGCGGATACTATCCGGATACTATATTTTAATGCCTGCGTCGTCAGATCGTGAAGTGCAAGTGGGAAAAACGAAGGAAGCAGTTTTCGAGTCATTCATTGCGTCAATTGAAACAAGTCTTTGCTTCAAATGAAATGAACTGAAGCACTCGACGAACGAAACAAGTGATAGTCCTGTCATGTTTGAAAAGAGGAATGTTCATCGTGACTCGATAACAAGAAACACGATGACTTACACGAAAATGATATTGCTCGGAATGAAACGATTTGTGGAGAGTTCATTTTCTTTTCTTTTTTTCGAAAATGCAGAACCCTGATCATTGATTATAAATTGTCCAATGTACAGTTTGAAATGATGGGTACATTATTGTTACTTCGGTCATTCGGACTGCCTACATGATTGGTGTTCATTTTCCAATCTAAAGTTAGGTACTCTACTCTGAAATATGTGAAAGGGAATCTAGTATCATGTAGACAAAACGTCCAATGTAACACTCATTGATTATGTCATTGAGAAAAATCGTCCAATATAACATGTCCGATGTACAACTCGACTTGTCAAAAAGTCCTATGTAGTTTTTTCTATGTTGTAGCATGATATTCAAAGTAAAATTGTGATTTTATCGGATTTTACCGTTTCTTCTTAATTTTCAACGTTTTTATACAATGACTACATTAAAAATAGTATTGGAAAATGTATTGTTTTTTAACAGTTAAAATAATAATCTGTCGAACTTCAACTTCGATTTTCTCAAAATGGTGGATATGTTACATTGGTCTATTTGAAAAGTGACGCAAGAATTAATAGAACTAAATTTTCTTCACATTTTTTTTGTATTTAGTCACTTTAAAACTCTTGGATCATTCGTGACTTGTCCGGGGGTGAGATTTGAACTCGTGACTTTGGCGTGAGAGGAATGGATGTTAACCACTTCGCCGGGGTCGCCCCCTCTTTTTTTTCTTCACATACGTCAAGCTCCCGTTCGTGCCCCTAGGCATATACTCTTCTACTTTTTGACTCGAGACTGATTTTTGAAAAGGGCATGTGTGTTTTCACATATGAATTATTAAAAAATTTCTAACTCTAAAACCGTTTATTGTATCAAAATTGTGACTGAGAAGAAGTTGATTTTCTCTTCATTTCAACGTACGGTTTTTTTTTCATTTTTTCTGCGATGACTTTATGTTATTAGACAATTTATATATGTTAATCCAAGATGGAGCAGTTTCAAATTTAAAAGTTTCTTGAAGAAAAAAATCATGATTTTTTTCAAATTCAAAATTATAATTCATAAAAAAAACTATTACAATAATTGAATATGATTCTTTAAGTCGTAACAAATCGAAATGATTTTGGTAACCCACATCCTAAACGTAGCCGTTTTTAAGACATAATCCCTTTTCATAAGTTTCTCGTGATTCTTCATCTACAGCGTAGCAACAACCGGTGAAATCTAACGATTTTAAATTGGCTCACTACTTGACTAGCCTATTGGTCCCAGGCAAATCGATTAACGTACCCCATTCTAGTCAAAATTCTAGTACTACACTTTGTTTGTTTGGATTCGCTATGAAAGTTTGACAGATAAAATCAGTGCTAACATTTGAAAACGGCGCAAAAGCCATTTGTAAACAAATGGTTTGTGGGCCCTTTACTCGCTACCCGAAGAACGCCCACGCAAACCAACAGCATCGTCAGGAAGGGGAAAATTTCCCCTACCCGATGTTGCTGTTGTGTCGCGTGGGTGTACTTCAAGTAGTGAGTAAAGGGCCCACAAACCATTTGTTTACAAATGGCTTTTGTGCCGTTTTCAAATGTTAGCACTGAAATGAGGGGTTATTGGTTTTTCCAATGTTTCGAGGGGTGAATCGATTAGCTTGGGACCGAAGAGAGTACCAGAGCTGAGCCAAAAAGTTGAGCACGCTTCTTCGGGACCAGGGGCCTGGCTGGCGGCCATGTTTTTGATGCTATCATCTGCTCTTGTCTTCCTGCTTATAATACGATTTTCCGTCCCTTTCCGCCATGTATACGTCAGGCGGGCCGTATTTAAATAAGGCCCGTGATGTTGTCTACTGTCAAACGCATAGGATTGATATAGGGTTGCCAGGCCCCTGTTCGGGACCCTCTAGGCTTAGAGTTACCCATCCGCGATGCAGTTCGTTTATGGTATTTGTTTATTAGGGGAGCCAATATCAAATCGATAGTTTC